TACTGCCTCACGTGACACAAACACTGCCAGCGGGAACTTCTTAAATCACCATCGTCAGTCGTCACCTGCATTGCATTCAATCAGATTATCACTTGTACTCAATGCATGAATAGTGGTACCCTGTTGAGAATTATGGAGTATACCGATTTTAATTTTAGGGAATCAACATCAAGATCACCATTAGGGCAATCCTGAAACATACAAGAGAAAAAGACGATAGATGGCGGAGTTGGCCGGCTAGGTGTGGGTCAGGGGGGCAGTCTTTTTTAGTTATAACAAAAATATAACTTAAACTGATGAAAATTTCCCCGGCAGTGTCAGACAGCCGTCCCACCAAAAAAACAAAAGTAAATAACACGAATAGTCCCTATGGTTGGGGGTAATTTGTAATTTGGTCTCTAACTTATTTTTTTAACTCGGAAGGACCCTACAGTTTGTTTTTGTTGCGCGCTTGGTCCCTATCTTACCTAAAAAGACTATTTTTCTTTTGATTTTTTAATTTATTTAAATAATGTGGGGTAGGTAACGTAAGGTAAGGTGAGGTGGAAGTGGGGTTGGGGGTGTGTTTATTTAAATAAATTAAAAAATCAAGGGAAAAATTATCTTTTTAGGTAAGACAGGGACCAAGCACGCAACAAAAATAAACAGTAGGGACCTTCCGAGTTAAAAAATAAGTTAGGGACCAAATGTGCAAATTATCCCAAACCATAGGGACCATTCGTATAATTTACTAAAAAAATCAAAAGCATGTGTTTTTTACATTAATAATATATTTTAACCCTTTTTAAAAGAATATACTTTGATTATTCAAAAGTACACTTCCAAAGAAATGAGAAAAAAAACTAAGTGAAAACTCTTTTTTTATAGTTTCACTTCTACAAAAAAAAAAAAACAAAACAAAACATTATATACTACCTGCAACATTTTTGTATATTTGGAGGTGGTAGACCTCACCTCAAACCTTCGAGTTGATTTAATATCTACTTTTTCCCATTCCAGACATAATTATCATTTATCTTTTCCATTGCTACTCCTCAAACTTTTTATAGTTATGATGTTTATCTAAGTTTTAGAGGTGAAGACACGCGTAAGAATTTTACAGATCATCTTTATACAGCCATGAAGCAGGCAAGAATTGGAACATTCATGGATGATGATGCGATGGATAGAGGAAAATTGCTGAAACCAGAGCTAAAGAAAGCCATCCACAAGTCTACAATTTCACTCATCGTCTTCTCAGAAAGTTATGCATCCTCCAAGTGGTGTCTGGATGAGGTTTTGATGATCATTGAAGAACAAAAGACTTCATCCTCTAATCATGAAGTTGTACCTGTGTTCCATAAGGTGGACCCATCTCATGTTCGAAATCAAAGAGGGAGCTTTAAAAAGGCATTTGATGGGTATGAAGATATAATCAAGGCGGAAACAGACTTTCACAAGAAGAGAGAATGGTTGGGGAAGGTGGGGGCATGGCATGATTCTCTTAGAAAAGCTGCAACCTTCACCGGAATGGTTTCTACAGATCGGTACGCATAGGGGTGTAAACAAGCCGAGCCGAGCTCGAGCCTGACCAAGCTCGAGCTCGGCTCGTTTAATTTTGAGGAAGCTCGAGCTCGATTCGAGCCTTAAAATGAAGCTCGAGCTCGGCTCGTGAACAATTTAGTGGGCTCGCGAGCCTAATCGAGCCTAAACGAGCCTCTATGTATGTATGTATGTATGTGTGTGTGTGTATATATATATATATATATATATATATATATGTATGTATGTATGTATATATACATATGTATATATATATGTGTGTGTATATATATATATATATATATATATGCTCGTTTAAGCTCGTTTAGGCTCGCGAGCCCACTAATTGAAGCTCGGCTCGAGCTCGTTTAATAAACGAGCCTCATATTTAGGCTTGAGCTCGGCTCAGGCTCGTTTAATTCGATCTTGAGTCGAGGTTTTAACGAGTCGATCCCGAGTAGCTCACAAGTAGCTCGGTTCACTTACACCCCTAGGTACGCATTCTTCCCCTCAAGTCTCTTAACCTGTCTCCTCTAGTCCTCTGTTTCTGTAATCTCTCTCCTTTGTTTTCTATAATTTATCCCTTGTGTGTGTCTATACTATTGGCTTACAGTTACTAGCTTTATATAAACAAACTGACAAACTGATTCAAGAAATCTGTGTTAGATTTTTGGTCTAAGAATGTCTATATACCAATATAGACTTGGATAATTCTAGAATTGTGATTGCAATCACTTTCCAAAATATGTGATTTTGACCATATACCCTGGGTATTACGAAATCAAATTTGGGATGATAATCCAAGAATGACTTCTAAATCTGAAAAACAAAATGTACTTTGTTGTTTTGCGTTTTCATGAGATATAGAGAATCTGATGATAAATTTCGAGTATGGAAAAATTCAACCCTTTTTTGGAACATTTAAGAAGTTAAATGGTGGTTAGAAAGGAGGTTATAAGAGAGAAAAGAAGTTATATGGTGGTTACATTCATTTATAAGAGAGAAAAGAAGTTAAATGGTGGTTACATTCATTTTGGTGCCAAAAAAAGTAGTTAGAAAGATGGTTATAACATAATCTAATCTTACATCATAATGATGTCACCACTTGTTTTGGTGGGAAAAGACATGTCTGGACTCTTTCCTAATATAGAAATTCGTTTAGATTTCGAGTCGCTGCCCCTTGACCCGTCCGCTGACCGGTCAGCGAAACCACCGTCAAGGGCTCTGTCCCTTGGACTCCGCAAGGGCATTGCTCCTTGGAACCATGTACCCAGGGTCGTTACCCCTGGACCCCTCGTATACATTGAGGACATTGGTTTCTGAAGATTGTATTGTTTGAAAAAGACGATACCATTGATATTATGGTTTATAGGATTGCAGGATACAAAGATAGATGCATTTTTATGTTTCTCTTAAAATGTATGTAGTTAAAAATGTTTGTAACAAAATATACATAGATAGAGACTCAGATTGCTTTAACTTGATATTTCTAGGTATGAGGTCAGATTCATAATTGAGATTGTGAATGTTATAAGAAAGAAGCTGGAATACAAGGACCTATACATTGAGGACAAACTAGTGGGAATAAAGGACGATGTTGTTGAGATTAAATCATGGTTACAAGATCCATCACCGAATGCAGCCATCCTTCTGATTGATAGTATGGGAGGCATTAGGAAAACAATTAAGGAACAATTAAGGTTACAGATGCCTTATGCAACAACGTGGTGCTTATAATCCTTGATGATGTTGCAACATTAAAACAGTTGGATGTGTTACTAGGACCTAAAAGGTTCGCCCCTTGAAGTAAAGTGATCATAACAACTAGGCACAAGTGGTTGTTGACTGCTTTAAAAGATTATCTTAAGGTTAAGGTCAAGTCTGTTAGAACATTATCTACAGTTGATGCCATCGAGCTCTTTAGTTTGTATGCCTTTCATCAAAATCAACCTATAGAACCCCATATTGTCCATTCGGAACGATTAGTCCACCACTACATGGGTCTTCCTTTGGCTCTTAAAGTATTGGGTTCTTCCTTACGTGGAAATACAAATGATGTATGGGAAAATAAGATGTGCAAACTGGAAGCAATTCCTAATCATGAGATTCAGAAAGTTATACAAATAAGCTATGAAACTTTAGAAGATGATAAGGATAAAGATTTATTCTTGCATGTTGCTTGTTTCTTTGAGGGTGAGGAAAAATACTACATTGTCAAGATATTGGCCCAATGTGATGTATACCATGTTGTCACGGGACTACTCGATCACCGTGTGCCACTTAGTGTTTCTTCTACTAAGTCAGGCTTACTATGCTTCCTTAACAATGTACTAACAACTTTGAAAGAAAGAGCCAAGGATTGAGAATTACTACAAATGAAATAGAGCTTCTATTATACGAGTTCAAGAGAATACAAGGCAACTTCCGAGGATATTGGAACAAATGGCTACACCCCTATTTATAGGGTCATTACACGTCCTCATCGGAATATTCTAGATGTTACTACCTATTTCTTTATACAAGACTATTCTATAATAATCTATCTAGATGTATACATGTTTACATGGTTCTATAAAGATCAAGATAAATCTTCGATGTCCTAGAGAATTCTAGGATGCTCTAGGATATTCTGGCTCAAACTAGCATACTCCACCAGCTTCTCGAGTACTCCGAAAAATTCTAAATACAGTCCGTGACACCCTCCCCTACCAAAGTCCTTGACGTCCTCGTCAAGCTTTAGTTCGATAAGCGTCGATCTTGTCACGAAACTGCCATAAATCTTGTTCCCGCTCCCAGCTAGATTCGCTCTCGGGGGTCCTTTCCATCGCACGTAATATTCTGTCCAATTGGGTGTTCCTCTTTTTCGAACCACTCTCTCAGCTAAGATTTCCTCCACCTCCTTATCATATGAGACGACATTGGCGACTGGGGCACGATGTGATTCACTTCTAAATGGGTCCTCCTTGTCTCGATTGTATTGTTTGAGGAGACTTACGCGGAATACGAGGTGGATCTTCAAGTTGGATGGTAACTCGAGTTTGTATGACCGTGTCTTGACCTTTTCAACAATCTTGTAAGGCCCTTCGTATCTTTGAGTCAAGGTAGACTTGAACATTCTTTGGGGAAGCTTTACCATTACTTCGTCCACTACAATGAACTCTCTTGGCTGCCTTTTTTCATCCGCCCATTTCTTCATTCGTTTAGCTGCCTTATTCAAGTAAGACTTTGCTATGTTGATTTCTTCATTCCACCCTTTTGCGAACTTATATGCGGGAGGGCTTGATCCTTTGTAGCTTTTAGTTAGTTCGTTTGGTGTCAACGGTTGTTGACCCGTAGCGAGTTCAAAGGGACTCCTTCATGTAGCCTCGCTTAGTTGTAAGTTATAAGAAAATTGAGTCACATCTATCAACTTGGCCCAATCTCGCTGGTTCGCACTCACAAAGTGCCTTAGGTAAATCTCGAGCAAGTGATTCACACTCTCAGTCTGGCCTAATCTCGCTGGTTCGCACTGACGCGTCCGTTTGTACTAAGAAGGGTTTGGAGTAATCTGGAAGCTTCAAGACAGGTTCTTTCGTGACTGCATTTTTTAAGTCATCAAATGCTCTTTGACATTTCTCGGTCCATTCCCATATCCCTTTCTTTTTGAGAAGGTCAGTTAGTGGTGTAGCTCTAGCCGAGTACCTTGAGACGAATTTGTGATAGTAGTTTATTAGGCCCAAGAATGATCGTAACTCGGATACATTATTAGGCGGCTCCCACTCAATGATGGCTACTTTGCTTTCATCCAAATGGATCTTTCCGTCAACAATCCTATGCCATAGAAATGATACTTCAGGTTGGGCAAAGGAGCACTTCTCCATCTTAACATATAGTTGGTTTTCCTTGAGTACTTGGAAGACTGAGCGTAAATGATCAATGTGTAACACCCTGTTTATAAAATAAATAAATAAATGTATAGAAGCCCTAAAATGAATAATAATTGAGCAAGGCGTTAATTTTGAGGAGTTAAAGGTCATAATTATAGAAGGTGGGGGTTAAAATGTAAGTTTTGGGTTAGTTTCGTAAATAGTTATGAAGGCAAGGGCTCCGTGGTAATTATTGGGACTTAATTTGAAAAGATTTGAAGGCTTAGGGGGGCTGAATGGTAATTTCAGGACCTATTATGAAGAGATTCTTGAAGTCAGGGGCTGTTTGGAATATGTTGGATTTAAATTGAAATAGATTTCCAAAGCCAGGGTTAAATCGGTAATTATGGACTTATTTTGAGAGAAAAGAGGGAAGGAGGGGTCGATTATGTCATTATGGAAAGGAGTTTAGAGGGGCACCGGGTATATAACCCTTATGTGAACCCTAACCCTAAGGGGAGAGTTCAGCCGCCATGTGTGGAGTCAGCCGGCCCCTCCCTTCGTTCATCGTTCCGATCAGTCGGGTTAGCCGACGTCGTCATCACCGTAGAAGCCCTGGTCCAGCTGCCGCCTCCGTTGCCGACGATGACAAGCTCGACTGCCGGTGCTACTGTCGTGGTTTGAGGAAGCAACTCCCACCGCCCGGGTGCGAGTTTTCCAGTCGCCATTTGGTCGCGCTTTTCCGACCAGCCGAGCCACCGAGCGCAACAACTTTATCTCCGGACGAGGGCAGTCGACGGCGTGGTTTTCGGGTCTGTGTGCGTCGCCATTGTTCCGCCATCCTCCTCCTTCTTCTTTTTCTGTCGTTGCTCATAGTACGACTCGACTGTTCTGGCGTCGTTCTGACCACTCTTCGCCATCGTTTTCCCAACAGACGAGCGGCCGCCGCCACTCCGAGCAACTAATGTGCGACGCTGCCTGCCGCCTCTCCGGGGTTCTGCCATCGCCAAGCACCACCAGGTGGTGCTTGTGTTACTTTTCCGAGCATAGGGGTGGGTGTGTGTGTTATTTCAGTGATGTATGATTGGGATTGTTTGACCGGAAAATTGAGAAAGGGCCACCGCCACCACGAGCCACCGCCGGCCACCGCTAGGGTGGTTGTGTGTGTGTGTGTGTGTTAGTTAGTGTGTGTGTGTGTGTTTATGTTTGAATTAAAAACTGTAAATGTAATTAGCAAAATGAATAATAAAATAATAGTAACCACCACCGTAAGGTGGTGGCCGCCGCCGTGAGCCGCCATGGACCGCCACTACCCGAGGTGGTAATGGGTGGTGCCCCTCAAGCAAACCCTAATTGACCTAGCAAAACCCTAATAAGCTTAAGGATTAGTTTTAGGCTTATTGGGCCATGTTTGGGTGAAAACCCTAATTAGGGTTTAGAAAACCCTAATTGTGAGTAGTTGGGCCTTGGGCTTATTGGACCCACCTTTGGGCTATTGAGATTGGATTGTGTATTAAGCCCAAATCACTCCATATCACTTATCTAGTAAAGTAAAGGACTTAATGGATTAAGTCCTTAATGGGTTAAGTAAGAAACACTTAACCCTAGTTATCATTTTATGTGAAACCCTAATTTCACTTAGGCTTTGTGTTGGGCCATCCAAGAACAAGCAAATGGACTAGAATAATTTAATGGGCTTTAGGGTAAGGTCCATAGGAGGGTGTGGGCCCAATTTGGAAAATTGGGCCATAGATGGGCCATAGTTTGGGCCTAGATGGTTGTATGATATTGGGCCCTTAGAATGAGATATGTTGGACTGGACTGAACAATTGGGCCTTAAGGAAAGTCCATGTAGAGGTTTGGGCCAAATTTGGAAAGTTGGGCCATATGTTGGGCTTTGATCCCTAGTTGACTTTGGGACTATGGATTGGGCCTTGGGCTTGGGTAAGCCAAGCTAGGGGTAATGTAGTAATTATCCAAAGTATGTATTTATAGTTATGTGTTAGAACCCAATTATTAATTGGGTGTTATTTTGGTATTGACAGTTCGGGAATCTGTCATCCAGCAGCTAGGGTTGAGTCTGCGGGACTTCAGCAGTGTGGGATTGTGTCTACGGGACTTCAGCAGTGTGAGGTGAGTTTCTTTCCAGTAGAAACGGGTCTACGGCCACAATGTCGGCCCGTTTAGATGATAGTAGTTCCGGACTTCGGTCCGATGCCGGGCGGGGCCCGATGCAGTAGTATGTATGCTTGATGTCTTCGTGATTCATGCATGTTGTGATATGTGTATTATGATCCGGACTTCGGTCCGATGTCGGGCAAGCCCGATACAGTATGTGATTATGCTATATGTTCATGTTATGTTATGTTCAGTTTATTCCGGACTTCGGTCCGATGCCGGGCGGGGCCCGATGCAGTGGGCGGGGCCCAAGTTATTTCGGACTTCGGTCTGATGTCGGGCGGGGACCGATGCAGTGGGCGGGGCCCAAGTTATTCCGGACTTCGGTCTGATCCCGGGCGGGGCCCGATGCAGTGGGCGGGGCCCAAGTTATTCCGGACTTCGGTCTGATGCCGGGCGGGGCCCGATGCAGTGGGTGGGGCCCAGATCATGCCGGACTTCGGTCCGATGCCGGGCGGGGCCCGATACAGTGGGCGGGGCCCATTATGTGTTATTTGTGTTATTGTATGGTATGTGGTAGTTTGGGGGAGCTCACTAAGCTTCGTGCTTACGGTTTTCAGTTTTGGTTTCAGGTACTCAGTTTTCAAAAGAGGAGCTCGGGAAGATTGCAGTGCACACACCATTTGTTCAGCCTGGGATGTTTATACTCTGATATATTTGACAGTTGCTATGATATTTTGAGATACATTGTTTATGATTCTTATATGACGTTCGATGAATATGGTTTTATTACTAATTTAAAACGAAATTTCCAGACTGTATTTTTGGGACGTTTCAAGTTGATATCATAGCCTTGGTTTGAGGGATTCGGGCACACTATCGGGTGTGTCTGAACTCAAACTAAGGAAGTGGTATAAAGTTTTCAAGAGAAAAACCATGGTTACAAAAGAATTTTGAGAAAAGAAAACAATTTTAGAAAAAGTATAAAGAAAAGAGTTTTAGAAAAAGCGAAAAGAATTTTGAAAAGAGAAAAGGGTGTGGTGCATGCAATCAGCCGAGCTCAAGTAAGTACTTCCAAATTACCCATACAAGTTTATGTAATGATTATCAGTTTCAGTTTCAGTAGAACAGCATGCTAGAATAGGACTAAGGATCTAGGAGGATGCCTTATGTGCCTGCTTTATGTGTTCCAGCTTTTTGAGAATTGCATGCTAGTATCGAGTAGACAGTAGTAGGATAGCCTGTTTAGGTTATGCCTGATAAGTATGAGCTTAGCATTGTATGCTAGTACAGTTTCTTGTCACGAGGATAGAATTGCTCGAATAGTTTCTCGTGTCTGAATGCTGCTGACTTTGTGCTTTGTGGGACTCTGAGTGATGGGAGTTAGCCGTTAGGTGAATACGTCACGTCACATGTGATCAGGGTTGAATAATCTCAGAGTGTTGGATTTGGCCCTATTGCGCAGCTCTTGTTTGAGTCTAACCGTTGTAGGGACGAGTCTGTTACTCGAAGGATTATCTGAGCCTCGTCACATGTGATGGTATTCAGGTGATGGCTAATTGGCATTACAAGGAGGCCTTCAGCAGTTGAGGACTGGTTTGGGTGGAGTCAGAGATTTCCCTAGGGCAAGCCTAGGATGAGAGTAGCAGAGATCAGTAGCAGTAGTAGTGACTTGGTGGAGTCGAGGCAGTACTTGAGGAAAGTACGGATAGATGTGGAAGGTAGTATGGGCCCGTACTACTGAAAGCAGAGGATCCGTACTCGAACCAAGGAAGGCTGAGATAAGACCAGGGAACTTGTAATGTGTGAGGTCCCTCGAGTTTGGATGAGTATTGTGATGTTAGTGATGGTATGTTGCCGAGTATAGTGACACTACGTGGTAGACCAGCTGGTAATTCTGGTATCGACGAGGGATCAGACGCAGACTCTGGAGCCGGGTAGATTGATGATCAGATGAGGGAGTTCATTCCATATGATAATTACGCACAGTATCATTGACCAGACTCTTGTGATCCTCAGTGTGATCAAGGAGGGCATTATAGAGATTTGTGATGAGAGGCCGAGCGCATTTTGCACTGAGATAGCAGTCATGATAGAGACATGTACGTTGATGTTTCGGGAATTCAGAGTTTGTGAGGCTTCAGATTGTCATGGTTGTTAGTAGTAGATGGTTGGCAGATGTCACCAATACTTTTCGTACCAGACGTTGTCTTGAAAGGAGACAAGATCTAACTTACTTCCCGTTTCCTGAGGGATAGAGCACAAGATTGATAGGAAGAGGTTAGTAGTGAGTTGAGTGATGACGTGGTTGATGCTATGTCATGGGATGACTTCCAGACCAGATTCTGGGCAGAGTGTGCCCAGGCGATTGAGGCGCAGCAGTTGGCGCAAGAGTTGTTAGATCTCCACTAGACGACTGAGACTGTGGTAGAGGTCACCGCCAAGTCTTGGGAAAGAGCTTATATGGTACCACAGTCTGCAACAGATGAGGAAATGAAGAAGGTAAGTTATCAGAACATACCACAGAATGATAGCAAGTAGATCGGGAGTACCTCGGGGTGTGAGACCCTGGGTGATATGACTTCTAGAGCGCGAGAGCGGGATATTGACTTAGAGCACACTGGGAAGAGGGAACCAGATCAGTTGCTTATAGTGAGGGGTCTCGGGAGGAGACCGTAGATTTCAGATTAGCTTTCGAGAGACCAGCAGGACCAGATTTGGTGCAGCACTTGCGGGAAACTGCACAAGGGAGCCTTTCGTTCCATGGGTTGAGTAAGTGTAACCCTGAGTTAACCTCCGTTTGTGTCTAAATTATATTTTTTTAAGAGATGTCATATGCCAATTGCATACCAAGAAGCATTAGCGAATAGTGATAGAGCAATTCCCCAGATTATGGGATTGGGAAAGTACAACGTCATCTTGGTTTATTCCAAGACCGAGGAACAGCACGAGAAGCACCTAAGGGAGGTGCTAGAGACTTTGAGGTGGGAGAGAATTTTCGCCAGGATCTCCTATTGTGAGTTCTGGTTACGCGGGGTGCAATTTCTTGGGCACCTTGTCAATCAGAAGGATATTCTAGTCGATCCGGCCAAGATAGAGGTCGTGATGCAGTGGGAGATTCTGAGGTCTCCAACTGAGATTCGGAGGTTCCTGGGTTTAGCGGGTTATTACCGGAGATTTAATTAGGTTCTTGGAGGCGGTGTGATCTTTTGGGCTAGCTAGTATTGAAACACTAGCAATGCTAAGCATGGTTTCAGCAGATGGAGCATAGAATGGTAAGAAGGATTGAGAATCCTTCCAGTATTGTGTGCCGTAAGACGTTAGTTGAATCAAAGTGGGGGAGAATCACCCAAGGATTCCGAAGCAAGAGCGGTTGTGAAGATGGGATAAGTTTCGCATCCTTGTCAGGAAGGAAGAAAGCCCAAGCGGCTGTATGGTTCGAGGAGAGTGTGATATGGAAGTTCGGAAAAACTTGCCAATGATGAGATCGCGTTCTCGGAATGTTTGCTAGCAAACCTTAGGGAATCCGGTTGGGGATTCCAGTCAGGACATGAGTTCAGCTGAGTGCGGGACAAGCGCGTGTTCGATCCAGTATAGATAAAGTTAGAGTGTTGTAAGTGTGTATAAGTCCATAACTATTTCTGGTATGTACTTGACCCGACCCGACATGGTCCATTTGGGTTGCATGGCACCATGCAATTGGATAAACTAAAATGAGAGAAATAACACTTATGGTTTATTAATATATTATAAGTTCTAATACATTAATAATATTATTTAATTAGTTTGATCAAGAATTAATTTAGAATTAATTAAGTGATCAAAAGATAACTAATTAAATATATGGGTAGATTATGTAAATCTTCCATATCTTATATAGTGGGCT